TGGCTAGGTTCTAAAGGAGACGTGGTGGTGCTCAGTGGTACGCCAGTAGCGAAAAAAGCAGAGAAATCCGTCAAGAAAACGCAAAACGGGACCCCTTTTTTTGGCCGTTGGTTTTCACTCATGAACAGGTAACAGCTCAGAAAGTGGACGTATGAACGAGTTCACCGCAACGCGTTTGATGGCACCATGCCAAACCACGCTTTAATCGAGATGCTCCATTTGCGCCGCTGCTGGCACGCAGCTCGTCCAAATCAACCAACTAAACTAGTGGGCGGATCGCTTTTGGGGGCGAAGTCCTGCTCAGCAACCAGCGCACCTTTCGTTGTGAAAGCGCCACATCTCGCTTCCCTGGCAGCCAAGTAACTGATTCGTGTGTTTATCGTAATCGCTTCCTTTAGGTCATGTGGTTTAGTTCATTACAAGCAGTTCCGAATAGAACTGGGAAGCGTGGCGCACTCCAAAAAGATATTGATCATTGCTTAATGCTTTTCGCTCTAGAATTAATCGCTCTAGAATTTCGGATAGAAATCGAAAGCGCGGTGTATCTGACAGGCAACTGATTTGTCAGTTCACCCGTTTATCGTTCCCTTTTGTACCAATACTTCAGATCTCACCGCATAACAACCTCTTCCTATGAAGACGGGTTGCCGTGGTTGTCTGGTGTCCCTACCCACAGTTGAAGAGCACATATCCAGAGCGCCTGGAAATCAGAACCGCCATCAATTATGGCAGAACGAATAGGAAAATGGGCTTACCAGTAAAGAAGGCGTATTGAGTTTCATTTGTTCTGGGTCGAAACGTTACACAGGTGTTGTTTTGCCAGAACTCCATTGCTCTCATCAAGCTATCCCTTGCTGCAGGTGCTGCAAAGGATTCGTTCTAAGATTCGCACAAGTAGCAGGGCACGGGGGTAGCTCCTACTCGCAAACTTGCAGAACACTCTCATGTTATCTGCTCCTTATTTTTCGATTGAATACCAAGTGACAGGTCCGGAAGTTGGTCTAATTTCAATACGGGAGCAGGAGTAGTGATTTCATTTCCACGAAGGCCACAATTATACTCTGCGTTCAAGGAGAAACGGAGGACACAAGAATAGAACAGAGGAGCTTCGTAAGAGAAGCTGGGTTATGAACACAACCTTCGCCTCAGGCGGAACTTGATAAACAGTATTGATAAACAATTTTGATAAACTTGATAAACAATATTGAGATCCAAAAACAACTTTTGGTTTTACAAACTGAATGACTCAATTATATACAAAATCAATAATTTTATTGAATCCGCACCTCTCGCTTAGCGGTCAAGTACGCTGTAAGCTTCATCCCCACTTAGTTCGGATGAATTGGTGTCCCGGTAACGTAACCTGTAGCGTTGGGGATGAAGCTGTGCCCGGGAAGCGAGAAGTGAAGTTCCGAGTTCCGCCTGAGGCAAAGCTTCTTCATAACCCAGCATTCTTGTGAAACTAATGCCGGTGTCATCCTTCGCGTATCCGACGACTCGCTCGTGAAAAGAAAGCAAAAGAAGCGAATCACAGGGTCTGAAGCGCCGGTGCATCGTTTATACACGCAGTTTGCTAGCGATTGGCCGTATTGCTATGTCCGATCGGCCCAAACAGGGCTGGCCAACTAGTGACGTGGGACCGGTGGGCGCACCAAATCGGCCCTGAAGATGGTGGTTGGCACAGCTGTGGATTTTGGAATTCTTGAGTAAGTTCTTACTTCTGCTTCTCCCCTTACTGATGGACCAACAAGCCGCCGCTAATTTTTGGATCGTAGCGCAGTAAACTCTCCGATCTTTCAAAACGCGCAATCCCCCACGCATCCCGATCACGCGGTATAATCTTCTCACGCCGGGTTCTCCCTGTCTCAGACACGTGTCTATTGCCTTTCGCGGAATCTACTGATTCTCGTACAAACCACGTAAATATGAACCGACTTGGAAGAGTAATTTCAATATCCTCACGCAGATCTGCTTGTCTGGAACTCACCCCCCCCCCCCCCCCCCCCCCTTATGAATGGAACACCAGTCTCCCAAATGGTTTCCGGGTAGAAGAAGTCTCGATAGGCCCATCGTTTTTTCCTCGACTGTTCATAGTCTCGCTCGGAGGCTTCCACTATCTCGTGGAGTAGCGGATTGTTGATAATTATGTCGCCGTCGAACAGAAGTCCTCTGTAAAATCATAATTCAGTTCCACCCAAAGGTAGTGATTACGATGGTTGGAGGGAGGTGATGATTCTGATGACGTCGTCGAAATTATTGGTGAAATAAGCAGATCCCTCTGCACATTTGGGGTGCAGGTGGGACCGCCTTCCAACGTCCTTCCACCAATGTTCAGTGAGGTCATCAAAATCGCACCGCCCCGCAGCCATCATGACCGGGCCTTCAAGCCGCCAGTAAGCTAGAAATCGCCAAGCTGACGACGCCATAGTCGTGAAGTAAAAGGTTATTTTATGCTAAGAGTACCGCAATCCAGAGTGCCAAGAGATTAGCTCACCTGAATTTTTTATTGAGCCTTCCGAAATTCCTTTCACATGGCTCCGGTACTACCGATTCGGGGTGGTGTTTGCTGAAAGCGCAGAGCTTTTGATAGTCACTTTCTTCGAATAACAATAGTCACTCACTGGCCCACTTTGATGTGAGTACTTCTTTAACCATGAGTTTCTGCAACTTTCGAAATTCTTCCTCATTTTCCTTTGCTGCTTCCTTGAATGACTCCTGAAAGGATAATTCTGTAAAATGGCACCGACAAACCAGGACAACCTTCATATTTGGTGGGCTATTCTGGAAAAGAAGGTGAAGCTTATAATATATATTTCAGTTAAGCATATTTGTGATTACGGGACATTCTTATGAGGTAAAATGCGGAAAATGCAGAAGGAAAATGGATTGCGGATCGCACCACTGCAGGTTTTCCTTGTCGACAAAATATTAGTGGTATAACTTCTGAATAGAAATTCCGATTGAGATGTTTTCCGGATACAGAAATAAAGGATAAAAAAGGATAAAGCATTTGCCGTTGATCAATCCCTTTTTGGGATGCGGCACGCATTCTACTTCCATTTGTACATTCGTAGTGGCGTTTGAATGCGATGTGGCCTATACAATGACTTGCGGGGGCCAGCCGATGTACAAGTCAGTGTTTTTATCCTCCCAGACAAGTCTGGTACCAATTAACCGACCCCGGAGGCTTGGTTGGCCCGGGCGACTCACGACCCAGGATTTGATCCCCGGACCGCTCGCGTGGTAAGCGTGCCACTTGCCACTACACCACTTCCGCCCAGAAAACATAGCGGGAACAATCACTTCAGGTGAAGGCACACTTTCTATAAGGGAAAAAAGTGGAGAGTGTCAGCAAGCAGCTTATCATTGAGTTGATTGGCACCAAGGATAGCTATGCCTTCATGTCACCGGGGTCGGCTAACCGGTGCAGGACTCCTAGTGGGGTGAACTGATGCTCTTAAAACTGCTGCCCTACATACCATTGTAAAGAATAGGTTCCATGCCTGCAGCCACACTCCGAGGAAAGCGGTCATGACTATCGATGTATCGTTCATTTCTTCCTTAAAGGCAAACCCCGGGATTAAACTGGTGCTATCAGCGCTTCGTAGTGATAGCTTAGCTGCGGAACGACCTGAAAGTGGAAAGGAAAGCAAGAGAAATCTTTGGGAACGCTGAAATTAAGGCCTTAACCTTCAATAAGGTCGGATGTGGTACGATGGCGAGAAAGGGCGGTCAAAGAAGACAAAATACGCGGCGGGTGGGTGCGTTGCAAAGGGGTCGATGGTTGCAGGCCCGTAAGGATTAGCGCCCTAACCGCGCAATTTTTGCGACGAAGCTGGAGTGATCTAGGTAGTACGGACCAATTTCCCTCGTGGTATCCCTCCTACTAGTCGGGCTAATCCCGGGGTTTGCCTTTAAAGGCAGCGATTACGATAAAGAGGAAGCGCATCGGGGAAGCATATGCACCACACGAAGCAGTTACTTGGCTGCCAAGGAAGCGAGGTGTGGCGCTTTCACGACGAAAGGTGCGCTGGTTGCTGAGCAGGACTTCGAAAGCACTCCGCCCCCAAAAGCGATCCGCCCACTAGTTTAGTTGGTGATTTGGACGAGCTGCGTTGCCAGCAGCGGCACAACTGGAGCAACTCGATTGGAGCGTGGTTTGGCATGGTGCCACCAAACGCGTTGCGGTGAACTCGTTCATACGTCCGTTTTGAGGCTTACCTGTTCATGAGTGAAAAAAACGGCCAAAAAAGGGTCCCGTTTTGCGTTTTCTTGACGGATTTCTCCGCTTTTTTCGCTTCTGGCGTGCCATTGAGCACCACCACCTCTCCTTTAAACCCTTCCTGAATCTATCGTAATCACTGCTTCAACAACAGTAGTTCCAATTATCCGGGAAGGAGGCGAAACCGACGTAAGCAAACCAGCCCTTTTGGCGCTTCGGCTGGGACCGTATGCTGAATGTTGGGGAGGGGATGGAGTCCCCGACGGTGGACGGACCACTTCAACTCGGTCCTTAGAACCGCCACAATTTGGTGCTTACCTCAGAACTAAGCCTTAAAGAGAGGACGGGTCCGTCCCCTCTCCAAGGGTGAGCAAACCAGCCCTTCTGGCGGAGCTGCTGGACCAGCTGCACCACTTGCGTCAGTACTCTCCTATCGTACCAACCGAGTTGAAGTAAACCGTCGACCGTTGGGGACCCCATCCCCTCCCCAACATTCAGCATACGGTCCCAGCCGAAACGCCAAAAGGGCTGGTTTGCTTACCTCGGCGAAACCCACTATGCTCACTGAAGTTTGCGACAAGTGCTTAGAAGCCGCCCATTGGTCGCGATTACTGCTTATTTTGAGCGTTCTTCTTCTCGGTATGCTTTTACACTCTTTTGTTTCTTGCTTGTGGACCTACTTCGCTTAACGCACAGTCGTTATTTCGCAGTTATGCCATAGTTCTCCAGCAGATTATCAGCTGATAATTTAATGCGTTGTTGGAAGGTGTTTTTCTAGGAAAGGTGAGATTGATTTGAAAAGAAAAACCATCCGGTGACGTTAAGCTTTTACACGGTAACTCATGGTGGTAAATTGTAAATATTTTAAATTGTCTATGGCACGAATTGTGAAAATGAGCATTCAACTCAGAGGTGACGTCAGATGTATTAGGTTGATGCATAATTATTGCGGCATTTTTTCACGCTTTTTCTTTAGAGAAAAATTGGCTTTCGTTTATCATTTCTTATGGAGGTCCTTCTCCTCTCTGTCATTTACACATTGCGTGTCGAAAATCATCTTCATATTCGCCAAATTATGCTTTAAAAAGTCGAGGAAGTTGGTAAGCGGCAGAGTCATTTCGCGATCTCAACGAACTTTTCGCCGAGGAACAATCAGCAAAAGCCAAGTTGAAAGGATGGAATCTGCTCCCACATCCGCCATATTACCGACCAAAGCTCCTACAGACTACCCCGTCAATCGAAATTGAAAAACTATCAAACGAACAAAATTTACGATGACTTGGATGACTTAGTGGCCGATGTTGAAGCGTGAATCGCCTCCAAGAATCGTGACTTCTTCGCCCGTGGAATCGACGACTCCCAAGCAAATAAGAAGCAGTTCTTGAAGTGAAGCGAATACGCTATAGGAGGATCATTTAAACATGTTTTGTTAAACGTTTTTGTCGTTTTTGCTCAATAAAATTTGTTGGAAAAACCGCAAATTGTGCATCAACCATATAAATAGATGTAGCATCGGCAGGGTACCCCCCAGGAGGCCCGTCGCGCGGCAAGAAGGCAAAGTCAGCGGACGAGTCGCGCGCGTACTATAGGGATTTCGCGTCAAGTTAAATAGAGTGTCCCACTGCACGTCATCGCACACCACGCGCTGCCTCGTCCGCCGACTTGCGCCTCTTTGCCACGCGACGGGCCTCCTGGGGGGTACCCGTCGGCATCAGGGAGCATGGGTAGTAACAACTTTGATAAGCGTCGGTTATTTCCGAAAAAGCACCGCTGGGCGTGATACTTTCATAGTTTCAAACGCTTTATTCCAGCTGGTTAATCTTTCTAATGGGTAGCTCAGTCTGAGAAAATTGACCCTCTACTTTAGCGCATAAAAATTGAACGAGCAATTAGTTGAAAGTAATAAAACTTCGATCAATAAGTACCTGAAAACTCACGATATTGAAAGAAGGTCTGCAAGCAACGTGACCAAGTAATAGTATTACCAGTACTGTGACGCAGTGCAGCATCTCGAGCTATTTTTGAGTTTTCACAGCTTTTAATGCGTGTCTCGTGTGTAAATAGATCGCACTGCTCAACTAGACGCTCTATTCCATTCACTTTGTGGCTATAAAGCAAATGTTGAGCCACAAAAGTGAAAACAGGAATAGATATGCGTACCTGAGGAATGTGAGTGGACGTAATCGAAAAGTCATCTACAGCCTTGTTCTAATCAGCCAACTAGCGATCTTTTCACTGCATCCTAGAATCTGAAGGGAAAACTAACGTGCGAGGAAGCCACTGGACCTTATACGCTCAGATTGCAGTGGGTCCTTCACAAAAACTACGTAACATCATAGCCAAAAAACTAGTTTGTCACCCGAAAAATTTCAAGCTTTGCTCCAATATAACAGAGTTCTGTTGAAATTCCAGGAGAGGCTCAGGAATTTCTGTGGTATTTGATGATCAGTAGATGTTGACCAGAACGCTGCCAGCGTTGGAAGGTATGCACGTTCCGAGCATCATCCATCTTGTACAGGAGTATGAAGCATTTCCCGGTGTTCCTCAGTTTTTATCACGGGAAGATGTCACATACGCCACCGAATTTTTCACTCTTTCAACAGGCTTCAGGCTTCTGTTTATGTTTAAGCAGCTCAACTGCACGGAGGCTTGGCGTGGGCTGCTCGGTTAGAAGTACCACCAATCCCCACGCGCATAGTCGGGACTTCGAAGTTCATCCACAAGATCTGTTTCTTCTTTAACTAACCAATCATTTTATCCCTCGGAGTCTGCAAATTGCTGTGAAACTTGTTGAGGAGAACTCAGCAACTGTTTCTACTATCACAGCTTTAGTTGGCCACTTCGAGGCGTTACATGGGCCAAGTCACATGTAGGTGACACTATAGTTTGAATTTGATTTTATTTTGATTTTTTTTCCGAATTGAAAGAAGATACGTGGCACATCCCAAGAAAGGGACTGAACAACTTTTATACTTTCTAGATTTTTATTGGATTATTCCCAAAGAAGAGGTGCAGGGAAGTTCTAAAGAAGGTCTAACAAGGGAGGTCTTTCAGGGCAAGCCACGCTTTTTCAAACGGTTTCTTGCATATTGTAGGGACGCATGTAGGGAACACAAAACCATGTTTCATTTTCGCTGAACGGTTATAGCAGTACCAAAAAAGAAGCATAAGGTACTGTTAAGGGTTCGATCCCCCGTGGCGACTAAATTTTGCATTTGGGTTGGCGCCTACGGTTTGGTGCCAAATCGCGCTAAATATCAAAATCAGATGTCAAATTCATCGTCAGGACCATTTTGAAGCCAACAAGTGGCCGCCAACCTTGATTGCAAAATTTAGTCGCCGCGGGGGATCGAACCATCGAAGGGTATCATTCACCACTTTTTTGATACTACTAAAACCGTTCAGCGAAAACGAAACATGGTTTTGTGGTCCATACATGCGTCCCTACAATATGCAAGAAACCGTTTCCAAAAAGCGCGGCTTGCCCTGAAAGACCTCCCTCGTAAGTGGAAATCATGGCCACAGAGAAGATGCGCTGGATAGAACAAACTGGCGACGATTTATAAAAACGGCAGACCCTACGACTGCCCAGGACTAACGCGAGGGAGAGGAAGAAGAAATTTCAATTAGGCAATGAAAAGCAATGATGACATCGTCAATTTCCAAATTTTAATAGATTTACCAGACAAATTATCGATCTATTGATGCAGCATGTAATTTTGAAATCATTCCTTTACGTTGAATATCTGATGCTGCATTCTCTTTCAACAAAAAGGGAGTACAATCTTCCTTGAAAAACCACTACGTTCCAATTATTTTAGCTATTTAATGATCTGGGTCCCTATGAACCCAACTAATTTCCCTATGAACCTCTCAACTGAATTTATGTAATGTGCCTGTTACCACTCTGCGCGTTACCGTATTGCCAGTTGACCTTAGAAATCAGACAACTGTCTGCTAAACTACTTCCGTTGCCTCGTTTGAAGTGTTCCACAGTGAGCTCTTGTCATGGCAATTTGAACCAAAGTAGAGACATGGCGCCCACGACGGAAACGGAAGCTGTATGACTCAAGGGCAAGTGGTAATCAAATTAGAAAGCAACTTATTGGGTACCAAGACCTAGAACACTACCCTTCTTCTTACATGTATGCTCGAAAATGACACAGAATATGGTTGTGCAAGGGTTCAAGATAAAATTCGACGTTGACCAACCCCTTTTCGGGATGCGCCATGCATCCCAATTTCATAGGAGCATCCCGCATTCATTCTATTCAGGCTCTATGTACATACATTGGGTGCAGGGGACAGCCATGTAAAAGTCGGGTTTTTTTTCATTACAGGCAAGTCAGACACCAATTTACTAACCCTCCAGGGACTGAAGGCCTAGACATGAACGATCCAAGACTTGGTTCCACCGCGCACGTGAAAAGCAGCACCACTTGCCACTGCACCGCTTCTGCTTTTGCTTCTGGCACTTAGACTTAGTAGGCTTCTTTTCAGCTCTTCAATACTTCAAATCGTGATGTTTTTGTGAATTGAAAGAGGGATCCCCACGCCCTCGGAAGAAATGGAGAGTCATCTCACAAACCGCACTCACTCGATCACCATCTGGTCTTTAATATTCACTGAAGTGACTCAAAGATTTTCACCGCCAAAGCATTGAAAAGTGCTGGATCCTTCAGAAAAAGTTGCGTCGACTCATGGGAAATATTTTTTTAAACAAAACAATTGCGAAATAATCATTCTCGTCAACTAGGCACCTTAAATGACTGCTAGAAATTCGGCTTATTGACTCATTGCACAGCAAAGAAACTACCCTCCCCTTCAAAAAGCGAGAAAGTGTCGGGTGCAGACCATGCACCACAAGTGACGACGGCCTTCACAAAATGTTAATGTTTCTGCCAATGAAATGATTAGCCTGTTGCAGTTGTATTCTATCATTGTCACTAATTACAACTATCATTTACCAGAAATCAGCTATCACTATGAACAACTTCTAACCAGATTTACTTGGAGGCCGTCGTCAGTTGTGGTGTTTGGTCTGCACCCGACACTTTCTCGCTTTTTGAAGGGGAGGTTATAATTTACGATGATTGGAGCCGGCATTCGACCGATAAAGATGTAAAATGAAGTTGGTTCAAGGAGAATCAAATGAAATGGAATAATAACGCTCGGCGAGCTGAGACAAGAAGAAATCCGCCTTTGAAAAAGGTCGCTTCGAAGTTTTTTTGAGCCCGACGAGGAATTGTTTAGACGATGGTAGTAGCGCAATGATGGTTAATGATATAACACGAATGATTACCCCTACAGGAAATATAGCCGGGGTAAGTTGTTGGTTCAGCTGGTTTGCGTCGAATAGACCTCTCATTTCGCTACCTGGAGTTCAACATGTTTATAACCAGTGCAGTAGCGAAAAACACCATTCGGCCAGCACGAGATAGATTTTTTCGCAAACGTATGACAGATTATGCAAAACACGGTTTCATAGGGGAACTTCCTCGAAAAGTATTCATGGGAAATATAGTACGGTAGCCGTAATCCCAGGATTATTAATACATGCACACATTGGTAAGCATTTGCTCCGTGATTCCTTTCAGTGATCAGATAGGCCACGTAATGATAGTGCTTGATGAAAAGTCCACAATCTTTGCATTCGTGCGCAATAATAACATTTAGCCGCGAAGAGTGTTCCCCCCGGTTGCCTATGTCAGACCCTCGCAGATGTGTTGAGATTTATGCGAGGCGAAATCTGAGGTCCGATGGCAAATAACGGAGTTGCGAGGGATAAGAAGTACCCATGAGTGTCGTCGGTTCTGCTTGGTCTGCTCAATATCTCGAGCAGTTATTGGAATGATTAGGGTTTGAAGCCGATATCGGATAGTGAAAAACACCTGAGGGTTTTGATCAAAGAAATCAGCATGGAACTGCTAAAGAAGCCGCTTTGTAATCAAGCGTAACTGAGATGGGGCTTCCAGAAATAGAGCTGAAGGTGAGACTCCAAAGAAGGCGACAATTGAGTGCTTCTCGCACTTTCAGAGTGCCAAGTTGGAACTAGCTTGAGCTACAAAATTGTGCTCGATCACTCAATGCAGCACATCACAGCGACATCTACTATCACTGCCTTTTCTAGATTCTTTACAGGATGGACTTTCAAGAGGTTAACAGGTTGAAACGACATGATGGGTGCAACGCTTCGTCGGGTTCGTTTGTCGCCTAAAGAATTCCAAACTTTCCAAATTGAAACCACTTGTGAGCCTAATTTGTTAAGCAAAGGTTAAGGATTCGTATGATTTTTATGCGTCCCGATCAAAATGTTTTTGTATTGAATGCGAGATATGCGCTTCTGAAATGAGGGTCAAGATTTGATTTATATGATTTATTTATCGGGAATCAAACTGGAGAATCAAGTTGTAAAAAGGAGAAACCAGAAACGTTCTCCGTTAGTAAAATTTCATTCTTGTGGAAAGGACAAGACCTCGCTGCGTAAAGGGAAGTGGGAATCGGCTCAAAGATTACCGAGAAACTGTTCCGTAACCGAATGTACGTTCCATGATGTCGCCTACGAATGAGAATCTATTGCTTCAATTATCATTTTGAAGACAAAGGTGGCTTTGCTTACTCAATTCCTATTTCGTTTTAAATGCTTGCTTCAATATAAGCTTGCCGCATCCTTATTAAGTAATAAGGCATTCTGTGTAGGGTGGAAAGTGGACATTCAAGCGAATGCCCAGGTTCCTTTTTTTAAAGGATTTGAGTTCAGCGTCCGTGCGCCGAGGAGTGTTCGGGATGCTATTGAATTTATACGAGGGAGTTTCCATTTTCCAGTAGCAAGCGTAGGAGGGGGGGCAGGAGCTTCGGAGAAAGTGAGACTTGTTCATGCATCCTGAGCCCATCCCTCCCGCCAGGCCTCAGTCCCGTGTTTGATAAGTAGAGGATGTCTTATGCGATCTTAAGTGCATTGCCACAAGAATGCCCCCGTATCTTGCGATAGCGTCGTGTGCACTTCTTCGCGTTTGGCCGGATAAACCTGTTGAACTTTCCGCGTAATGGAGCGTTCAGAGTTAACGATCACACGTGCGATTAGGCGAGTAGGCGATTAGGCGGGGAGCACCACATACGTATTGATTGGTTTGCTCCGCCCATAGAACGTTGTAGGCGAGTAGGCGATTAGGCGATTAGGCGATCGCTCGATGGGCGGAGCAACAAATCAATACGTCCTTCTCTTATCGCCTACTCGCCTACTCGCCTAATCGCCTAATCGATACGTATACTTTTCTTTTGAATCATCGCCTAATCGCCTAATCGCACGTACGATCGCCAACTATGAACGCTCCATAAGTAATGGTTTCGATGTTGATAAGCTTGAAACAACCATCTAACATAAAACTTTATTTGATAGAAATTTATTAAGTGCATGGCATTGGTAATTGATTTAAAGCTTTAGTGTTATGCTCATCACCTTTTCAGACATGACATGGATGAAAAGATGCGGAGACGACAAATCGATTATAATTATCACAATATAGGCTGTGAAATGAATTAATGCTAGAACATGAGAACACAATGACAACTCAGCGGGGCTGCAATAAAGAAGAGTTTAGGAGGAGGAGGAGGAGGAGGAGATTTTGGCAGGACTGGCCGAGTAAAGCGCGTGCGACAACGGAGGAGAGAGTGAGAGAACTGAAGGAGGGGAAGCAGCGTCTACACACAGGGAGAGCGAAGTATCCCGTATATGGGAATTGAAGGGGTTTAAGGGAGAAAAAGTGACGAACATGAAGCACCTACAAAGTTTGAAATCTAGCGATAGGGGAAAACGCGGTGAAGTGTTTTCTTTGAACATTTGCTCCTATGAAAAACAATGTATACGAACGAAGACGAAGGATCGAACCGATTAGAAGTTCGAATACGACGTGGAGACCGCAGGTTGCAGAGACAGACACCCGGCAATGAACAACTAGTTATGCAGACATGAACACAATTTATGTGTACGTGTGAAAGATGAAACACATAGAGCTAAGCGTATATTAAACGACCCGACCGATACAGCAGGCAAGTAAAACAAAACACGAAGGAATCGCTACGAGTTCTCGGAACGAGCCGATTCAGGCTCTTCAGGAATTCGTGACTGATACCATTCACGATTCTCCTCGAGCTGATCAAGAATGTTCTGCGCATCCGGATACACCAGATCGGCCCACGTCTCGTACAATGGATGGACTATGTAATCGATAAAGCCAACCTAAATTGATACATTATCATCCATTCAGCAGAAAGGTTCTGAGGCGAAGGTGAGCCAACGTCAAAGAATCCCTGATAGAGGGGTCGTATCATCTGGTTCTTAGAGAGAGGGGAAAGTAATGTGCGGAATTGATATAATTGGTAATATTACAATATTATCGGAAGAAAAGTAGGACTTGGTTGAGGTGTGAGGGTGGAGGGGGGTTAAAGAAAGGCTGGCACTATACACCTCCTGTGACAGATTCAGATAGGGAACAGGTGAAAAGCAGCTATGCTATTTCTATGCCAGACTGCTGGCGCCAGCCATGGTTCGCAAGGTTTAGGTACGCGTCTTCCCTTTTGGCACTGACGAGGTAAGGTTCGACTGGTACTGGTGAGTCAAAATGCCATGTAATATAATTTGTAGCGAACATATATATGCTCAAGTTGAGAAAGTTCTAAGAGAAGATTATTTGTCGCTCAAGGAGAAGACGGCGAAGAGAATAAGGTATAGGGCTACTCAAGGTTAACAGAATTTCAACAGTATTTGCCAAAATTTATCGGTTTGGTCCAGAAAAAATGCGAGATTTCCTTGTTTTGCTTTGTTTGAGTACGATTCTTTTCTCGCCTCTCGGTCGAACGGAAACTTTTCTTGAATTATATATTTTCTTTCCAAAAAATAGGAACAGAGAGGTCATGAGAGGACAGGTGAGATGTGGGGACTTGACTCTGGGTGATGGTGCTGCGTTTGAGACTGGAGAGAGGTAAGGGTAGTTAAGACGGGTTTCCTCGACGAGTGGCTCACCGAAGGAAAGGCTTACCTGTGACTTTTCGATGGTGACATTCCCTCTGTCACACATCGGTGACACCTCGATACCGAGCTCTTTCTCCCGATCGCCTTGTCGCCAGTCTAGAGAAATTCTACGAATTTCCGACTGTGATAAAGATTCAAATCGGTTTGTCGGATTCGACAAATCGCGAGCTATGAATCTCAGTCGATTGCAACACCTGTAAGTAATAAGTGATGAAACTCTTCCCACGGGTATTTTTCAAGGAAGCAGTTCCAAGTGCCCACCTGGATTTTATCGTTGTATTTATCCAAAACGATCACGTTGTTTCCGGCGACTTTCTTCGCTTCCACCATCGTTTTCAAATCGGCCAACAGGGACATGTGCTTTGACATATCGGTAGCGAGAACCTGAAGTCACTTTTTATTGCAGAAGCGTTGGAATATAATGGCAAAATTAGGCATTTTATTCGCTTAAGAAGGTATACAAATATAAATACTGAGTCGCATAATTAGATATTGACGCTGCCACAATTTTGGTTCACTTCTAGCTCAATTTTCGGAGGCACTGGAAAGTGTTTCCCTTCTTTTCTACACCCAAAGGCTTTGTGTTTAAGTTTTCCCTTTCTGTAGTTAACCAGAAAATGAAGTTATTCTTCGAACTTTCAACAAGGAGCTTGAGAAGAAGGGGTTAAGCGTTATTCCTTTCACTAGGAGCGCGCCACACATTCCGCTTGCATTTATAATCATACGAGGGTTGGAATGCATGCTTGGCATACGAAAAGACCTGTGCAAGTCAACGAGTGCTTGGGTTAGCGCTTTCCGCTTTCAAAACAGCACAAAATAGTCAAACATGCTGCCTGCGAGGGCAACACCTTGTAGGAACAAAATCTCACGTAGCCTGCTCTAGTCAGGCTCAACCATCAGTTGTTCCGATTCCGGGAGTTCGACGACCCGCTCTTAGAAGAGCCTCTCGGAAAAGGTCTCTATATGACCCCCGCCACCACCATCAGCTTTAGGAAAGCCTCTCCCCCGAAAACGACCCCTCTCCCACCCATCGACCACCACCCTCACCAGCATGGTTGCTTCTATTATACTTAAGAGACTTCAGAGACTTGTCGACACGCTCCAACTCTCCTCACTCGTTTTCCTCCCAAAATGACTTTCAAAAATGCACCCCCCTCCTCTTTAACAAATTGACCTTCACCAACCCAAACACAAGCCCCTCCAAAAAACTCAAATACGACCCCTCTGTTGAGAACTGTGCAATGTACAGTTAGCCGTGCTTACAGTACTCGACAAAGCACTTCTGATGGATATCACCCTAATTCTACGGAACAAGTGACTAAAAGGGTTACTGTAATTGTCTACCCTCCGCCTATCCCTTAACCGCGTGGTTACAGACAAAAGTTTGTTGAAGAATTCGATCTGAGAACAACGAGGAAAAATCACTTCTTGTTTGCAGGACGACTCGATTGGAAAACAGAGAACTTTGATGGCCAATTAATAGAAAAAGTGCACCCAACTACGGTATAATTCTAGTTTTTCCCGTTTAACGGCGTCCTCAGTATTCGATCACAAACGATTTTGAAAAAAGTCAGACGACTCAGGAGCATGTAAACATTTGAAAAAACAATTGACAAGGTAATTCAAACCAAATGGACCGATACATTCTATAATACAGTACAGCAAGAATATTGTAGCGATTGCGCAGAATTTTATGAAATTCCCACGCCAGGACAACTGGTCAAGTTTGTGGGGGCCAAAAAACGCCAATAGATATCTGGCCGACCTCGCACCCTAGCCTTATTTGGGGGTTCACAATAAGTTCGCGAGGTCGAAGTGAATTCCACCTAGTCGAAAGGCAGACTGCAAGACATTTCGCAGCGAGAAGTAAAGCCGCCAGCGTGTTAGCAAAGGCATACCAGCCCCGCTCGTCCTCTGGCTCAAAGGAATCCTCCGCGGAAAAGCTCCGCCTCCATTACCACAGAAAAACGATACCTTAGGCCCCTAGCCTCATGAGCATAGCAAAAAGAACGGAACATAAGCGTTAGTTTCGATAATACTAATCCTACACACAAGACAAAATGATCACTCTTTCCGTGGAAGATTTCCTTTAAGGTATCGTTTTCTGTGCCTACTGTAAAGTGCGGCTAGAGTCAACGCAAGGGTCGAAACCATTAGTGGAGTGCACGCGAGGCGCTAAAGTGCAGCGGCGCGAGCGGTGAAGGTACGGCCCTGCTGACCCGCCGGGGGCATACCCTTGCTTGCGAGATGCGCATCTTGCACCCTCAGGGCGTCAGCCTGCCTTTCCACTAGGTATACATCCCCTTCTTCAACCTCCACCCTTATCGTGCAGCCTTTCTTCAGGAGCCCTCCTCACAATAATGTACCGTCAGCCTACGCTATCAGTGTCTCAATGGATCCTAACAATTCTCGCTGCCCTTCTTCAGAACAGTGTCCACGACCTACGGAGGCGTCGTTCAAAGTAGTGGGTCCGACGTAAAATTATGGTCTTGCTCTTGGAACCCTTCCCCTGAACATTTTCCATGGTTTCTACACCCTGCGGAGCCTGAGGTAGGCAACGACAGATGGGGCCGCCACCAAATGCTCTACAAACTTTTCTCAAACTGATTCTTGGCCGTACCTACGCATTCAAAGGCCTTCACAATTTCCGGCGAAGGTAGTATGCATGGCGCAACCCATGCCACCCACACCAATCAGCGTGAAAAGATGCATTTTTGTCGAAGTCCCAGAAATCACAAGAGATACAGGTAATCAAAAATACTATGGTAAAATGGTCATGGAAAATCACGTGCACTTTAGCTGTCCTCATTGGAACAGGTCACGGGGGCTCCTTCCGGCAGAAAACTCTGCACTCAGTCAGTCACACTCTCCATCCTGCCCCTTCATCACAATCAGAAGAGAAGGCAATAAAATTGACGACGGAGATGTGAAGGTCAGTATGGACCCCCACTTTTGGTCTCAGTATAATTAAACATGTTGTCTTTCAATCGACAGAAAGAACGGGTCGCGCGCGACGATGATTGATCGCTTCCGGCGAACTGCAACCGACCAGTTTCACGTCGCGCACCACGCTCTGCAGTGCACGCAGTCAAAGCCGTGACTGCCAGACCAATAAACTGGGAATTGTGGTCGGGTCAGACATAGTCCCCATAGTACGCTCACAAGGTCATAAAGCAATTCTTCCTGTACCTGTCAGGGGCAGTAAATGAATTCAAGGAGACGCTGTAAAATCACCTGACAAGTTAGTCTGGTTCACTGTAAGTACGCGGAAGTTCCCCGCATGAGATGTGCCTGGTTTTGCACAGAAAAAAATCAAAAAATTGCAAAGTTGCTAACAAAAGCAAGCCAAAGATAGGATCGTTCTTTCAAACTTCTCTGGATTCCCTTAATTTAGGAACGTGGAAAAATAGGTAGATGAAATTCCGAAGAAACAAAGGCGTCGATAGTGCGATGCAGATGGGCTCAAAATGAGTTTACCCACTGTTAGTTCAAACAATTTGCAAGCAAACTTCTCGAAATTCCAGTAGAAAGCGACATAATTGTGAGACGGAGGTGGAGCAATGGCTACTGACGCCGCAGTCTGATTAGGGCAGAGCCGCGGATCGAAATCTCTTCAGAAAACCGAGCTCTGCATTCCTCGCAAGCCACTAGGATTTATAAGAGACTTGGATGCGGGGAATAAAAACCTTGATTCGATTACTGACTCATTTCCAGATTTCAGTGCGCCACCATAGTTGCGTCGACGAATCTGGCCCAGGGCAAATCGAGTTAGCAATCGTGGTCCAGGGCAAATAATGGAGCACATTTCCGGGTAGCAAAAGAAGCGGTCTCAGATAGCGCAGTGGGCGAGAGAACACCCGCAGCAAGCACAAATTTGCTTCGGCAAACCAAGTTTTCACCTCTCTGAAATCAGTCACCCTGACAAGAATGTTGTCCGGAAAGATGAAAATGCTGACATGAAGAATGGCTTGCATAATTCATTCTATAGGCTGGATACATATTGCTACACATTCCCCAGCCTGATTCTGCATGGGGGGATTTCATGGCGCGTCCCAGAAAAGGGTTAATCAACGCCAATCCCTGAATCTTTTCACCCTTTTGTCATCCTGGTACTAGAAGATTATAAAGTATGTAATTTGCCATATGGTGACGGAGTGATTAAAAATTCTCTTTCATAGGCAAATCAAAATGTTAAGGAGCCTTCAAACGCTTGCATTACACCATTTACCAAAAACCATTGGCTCGAAATTTAGCACTAAATTTGTCCTTTACTGATACCTTTAGGGTTATAAGAACATTGGAAGAGCGCCTCTACGGTCCACAGAGTTGATTTGTGGGGTTTCGATGAAAGTCTTCTTTATTTGTTGGGAAGTTGCTGTATTTTAGCTTATAGCATGGTATGTGAAATTTATAAGAACAACATTTTCAAAGGAACTTTTGACAAGGTAAGTTCCCAGGGTGCCGCATGGAGCAAACAAAATGTTGCTTGACTCAAAATGATTATTTTCAACTGATCTATTATTTGTAACAAATTTTATAGAGTGAAACACTAACCATATCGATGACGATCTTCCGGAACTGCAACCGTTGCTTTTTCGACAAACTGCACAGGAAGTCACAGTTGGAATCTTGAAGAAGTTTGAAAGCGACGGCCAAATGATGCTGCTCCAACACGCTCTCATCGTTGTACATGATCGCCAACTCGTTATCTAAAAACAAAAAAGTCCATTTTCTCTAATATTCTCTCACTAGTATTTAAAAAATAACGCAAAATAAAAGCAAGGAGGGGAGGCTTCCAAAAAGGATTTTTTCACATTTTCCAATCGATTTTCTTCAATTCCCCTGTCGTTTCCAAAAGAAAAGCAGAATAATATAGATTAGAATGAGCTCCAAAAAAAAGCAATTTTCCAATTCTAAATTTATAAAAAGTAGCTTGACTGGGGGAGGTGGAGCCAGGGTCAACGGTCACATTGATCCGATGTTCGAAAATTTTACGACTCCCCTCCCCTTCTAGAGCGGCCTCGATAGGGACCGCTCAGGTCAATCCTTCCACCACCTACCTGCCATCGCCATATGGCGGGCTGATTTCTACGGATTATGGGGCTTAACACATACCATGAAGACGCAAAATTTCCGCTTCCTCGCTAAATACGACCCCCCTTTTTCCACCCAAATACGACCCTCCCCCCACCCCTCGTTGTACTTTGTCCAACGCACGGTTGACCCTGGCTGGAGTTGACTTGCATAGAGGTTCAAGCCATGTATGCGATTTTTATTTTATTTCATTTATTGATCAATCGCAATCAGTAAATCCTTCAGCTATGGGTTATGGTGACCAAACATTTAATCGGATTTTTACTGTTTTGTAATGAAATGGAAGAAAAAGTTTCGGTTATTCAATCGATTTTTTGACGACCAGTAATCATTCGAGTAGAGAGGAAGGTACTAAAAACTACAATTGGAATTGCATAATAATTATTGAAGATCCAAAACAGTTTGTACTGGTTTTTGTGCTTTTGCTGTTTTTCGGGTTTTTGGGGAAATCATACAAGTAATCGCTACTGGAAGTACAGTACCCTCCATCTGTAGAAAAAAACGGAATAGGGGAAATTGGAATGTGGCAATGGAACCTGACATCCACTTGCGGGCATAAAATCAGCCGGACTCAATTAGAAAGGCTGAAAAGTGTTTGCATTGATTCCTGCACGCCCTTAATTGCCAATGAGTTAGAGAGAGGGGAACCAAATTTCATAGAAATGATATTCGATAGAAAATAAGGCACTGTTCACCGTTTCTCTCCTCAGAAATTGAGCAGGATTTTTATCGAAATTTTCCATGACTGTGATTTGGCTAGAAACTTGCCTTCAGGGGTAATTCGACCCGTAGAACACGAATATCACATTTGTTTACCGCTAGAACGCCTGGCGCTCGCGCCAGAAGCGCCGGCGCCAAAAGGCGCCAGAACATCTTGGATCACCCAATTTCGCTGAAAACTTGTCGTCAGGGATAGTTTGACCCTTAGAACACGAAAAGGTATTAGATCGTTGCCGCAGCCTGCGCTACGGGCGCCAGCAGAAAACTAATGTGACAGCACCAGCCCGTAGCGCGGGCGCCAAGCGTTTTCGCGCTAAACCGATGTGATATTCGTGTTCTACGGGTCGAATACCCCTGGAAACAACTTTCTAGCCAAATCCTTAGTCACAAATTTCGATCAAAATCCGGCTCAGTTTTTGAGGAGTGTCTCAGTAAAGGGTACATAGTGCCAAAAATAATGCTAGACTATAAATATATTAAACATTCACTTGCAACTGATGAGTAACTATTATGTATTGGTAAGTGAACCAATGAGTATGTGTTATATGATACTTTAGTATTGAAATATTTGTCTCAGAAGACTCAGTTTCCCACAAGAAGGACCTTAAAATGCTCGTGTTCACCAAGGAAATCATTTCGAAGCCTGGCGGCTTCCCAATCTCAAAGTATAACGATTCACATCAAACACCAGCATAAGTCTCGGTGACAGTAAAATAC